AAAATAAATATCCATTGCAGTTAACAATGTCCTGGATGAATCCCGAGACCAGGCCTAATGGTCAGAGAGTGACAGGTGGGACCTAACCCTAACCCTCCCCTCCCCTACCCCATCCAGGTTAGAACTCAGTCACCTTTCCGGTCAGGAACTGAACCCAGCCCTGTGATGGAATGCTCAACCTTTTAAGGTCAGAGGTACAGCATTGACCCAAGGGCAAAGTCTCCAGGGTTAGGAAAGAAAAAGGAAACCGCAGGGAGAACTCAGGGGCGTTGGGGAATGCACTGGGGAGACTGCAGTGGATGAGTTGAAACATAGTGTGTATGAGGTGTTGAACGTAAAACTCATGATCTGCTCTGTACACCTTCACCTAACTCAACACAGAAAGTTGTTTTCTTTTAAATTTCTGATGACACAATGAAAATTATATTAAATCTCAACCCTAGAGTGCACATCTCCTAATGTCCTGTATGTTTATTACAGCGAAAAGCACGCAGGAAGCACTTCTGCTTACAGAAGACAACAGTTATCTCCCAGTAAAGCACTCATGGGGTGGCTGGAATTGCAAGCTTTTGTGTGGAACATCATGTTGACTTGGTTATTGAGGCTCCGGTATTTGGCAAACATTTTCTTGGAAATAAAACAAAGCAAACCTGTCACTTCAAGGAAAACAACCGACAGTTCTGGTTGGCCATGATGAAATTTGACCTTCAAAGTGAAAATTAGAACACTGAAGAGCCTGTTGTCTGCCATTCCGAACTTGAGTTTCCCAGTATCTTCCCAATGAGGTCATGGGGACCGTGTGAATAAGATTTTTGATACTGTATAACGAAATAAGGCAACATTTGGAAGATGTGCATAACTCTGTGAGCCAGTATTTTCCAAATGCCTAACACATGTTGCTACAGAACCATGCCTGGCTAAGAGATCCCTTCAGAGTGTAAGACAGACCACCGGATGTTCATGGGACCAAGTGTGACAAGTTCACAGATGCAATTTCTGCTTCCACCCAGCAATTAACCTTTACAAAACCAGCCTTCACAAAACCAAGCCCACAGTGATCGGGGAAGGCTATTGGATTACCCCTCCTTTTTCAATTAATCTCTATAAGGCTGGATATTTTGTTTTACAAGTCAGCCAAAACAATATATTACAAGAGACTGAATTCAGAGACATAGGAAATCAGAAAGGAAACAAAAGAAGGAAAATCTAGTGGCTTTCTAGTAAGCCAGATATTTAAAAGGTTTGCAAAATAATGTCACTCTTCTAATTTTTGAAACAATAGCATTTTTTTTAAACTTTAAAAAATTGCTACCTGTGATAACCAATCCAAACCAGGGCCATCAAGTCAATGCCTAAAACCAAAAGTCTAGAAAGTCCTGAAACTAAAAGTGTGAAATTGCTGGTCAAGAGCAACACAGCCTATTCAGGACATCACTGGGGCTCCTTACTGACAGACAAGGTGCTTCAAGGCACTGCCAGGATTTGTTCCAGAACACCAGGTCTCTGTACTTCTCTGGCAGACCAAATGGCCCAGCCCTTTGCTAATATCCAAAAGAGCTTGTGCTCAGACACTCCCTAGAAGGACTAGCAGGGGGCATGGACAAACCTTGGTTATGGCTTCATCTAGATCCAGTTTGTCAGCAAGTAACAACTCTCCCTGCACATATTCAGTCCTGTCTGCGGGTTAGGCCTTCTCTGTTCCCTTCTTCCCCACCTTGTCTTCTGCCTATTCCCTCTGGACTCAAGTCTTCCCCTCTCTGCCTAGCACATAGTAAGTGTTCAACAAACGATTACCACGCACCCTCCCAGAGCTACCTCCCCATCCTGTGATTTCAACCACCCCCTACACATGGGACTTTCTATCACCCTCCAAGGAGGCCTGGTAATGCTGCCACTGGTATAGGCATTGGGTAGCTAACCAAAAGGGCAGAGGTTCAAACCCAAATGCTGCGCGCGCCATGGAAGAAAGTTAAAGGCTGTCTGCTCCTGTAAACATTTACAACCTATGAAACCTAGTACAGAGGGTCACTACATGCTGAAATGGACCCGATGGCGGTGAGTTTGTTTGGTGTGGAGACCACCATCCAAGACCTCTGAGTGGTGAGCTCCAGACCAACAAAACCACCTCCTGGTGAGCTCCAGACCAACAAAACATGACCACTGAGCTTTCCCTGTAACCTTGCCCTGCCTCCGGACAGCCTCTCTCCAATCACCACGCATCTGGTCACTGAGCCAGAGCCCTTTCAGGCTGTTCCTTGGCCCACTCCCCGTATAACTACCTTGTCAGCTAGTTTTGAGGCTCTTATTACCTTTCCCATCTCTCAACCCTCCTCCATTCCTTCTGCAACCCTCTTCAAGGACTTATCTGTGGCCTGGACTGCCCTTTCTCTCCCTCGCTCCTACTGCCAGGCTAAAACCCTTCCTGATAAACTTGCACAGCAAGTGTGCCACAGCAATCTCTCTCCAACACAAAGCTGATGTGACTCTGCTGCGCCCGATCCTTTTGCGGGTTTCTTGGAACATAATCTTCAAACCACTTTACTCTCATGCTCCCCCAAAGGAATCATCAAAACTGCTTTTTAAATTCTTAAAGTTGCTTGCGCATTTTAAAGCTGACAACTAAAGTTTTTCAACACAACTTCTTCACTATGCTAAAAAGAAGGACAGTCAACATTTTAGGGAAATGTCTACGGTTAACTGTAAGTAAAACACAGTTCTTGTCTTGAGTTGATGAAATTAACTTTAATTATTGTACTGAATACACCCACCTAATTAAAAGAAAGGCACCCTGGTGGTGCTGTGGGTGAAGCACTGAGCTACCACCTGAAAGGTCGGCAGTTCAAATACACCAGCCACTCTAGGGGAGAAAGAGGAAGCTGTTTGCCCCTGGCCTTGGAAACTATCTAGGGTCACTGCAACTTGATGGCAATAGGTTTAATTTTTTGTTTAACTACTAAATAAATAAATTAATTTCCCCTAAAAAAAAAATACAAGCTTTATCCAATATATCTTTTTAAAAATCTGCTGGCCCCCCCCCCAAAAAAAACCCCAAAAGCCAAAACACTACAGTTGCAGTTTAACTACCTTTGTGTTTCTGAATCTAGAATATTCCAACATGGAACAAGCATCATCCTAACAGCTATCTGTTACACATGGAAAGATAGGAGCTATCGAAGTTTGGGAGGTAAATTAATCACTAATAGAAACCTCCTTGAAATTCGTATTCCCAGCTTATCCCTTGTTTAGATCTAGCTAGCTGGTTTTGACATTCAGAATGAAACACCACAGTGAAGACAGGGAAAACACTGAGGGATATGCAACACCCCCACCCACCTTTTTAGTAAGGATGACCCCTTTCGTTAGCAACGATGACAAGGGCCATCAAGCAGAACTGCCCCTCTGGTTTCTGAAGTTATAAATCTCTGGGAACAGAAAGCCTCTCACTCAAAGCCTGTCTCCTTTCTCTCTCTCAGCGACTGGTGGATTTGAACTGCTGACCTGTTGTCAGCAGTTGTAACTTGTAATCCATTATGACACCAGGGCTCCTTTTAGTAAAGTTAGGGGTTTTTTGTTTTGTTTTGTTTGGGGGTGGTGGTGCATAAAAAATCATTTGGAAGTTGAAAGCAAAACAAAAAAAAACCCCATTAAGTCCATTCTGACTCATAGACCCTACAGAACAGAGCAGAGCTGCCCCATAGGCTGTAAGCTTTACAGTAGCTTGTACAGTAGCAGACTGCCACATCTCCAGCTGGCAGGTCCCAACTGATGGCCTTTTGGTTAGCAGCCAAGCACTTAACCACTGCACCACCAGGGCTGTCAGGGGATCCTTTTACAGCTGTAAGTGAACTCTTGGCTATACTAGCTTTGTAAAAGCCGCTGCTTTGGAAAATACAGTTTTAACTCCTGATCAAAAACACCACAGCTGGTTTTCCACCTAAGTAGTTCCCTCCAGCCCCAGCTCAGGACCGTCAGGCTGAGGCCAGCTCTCACCTCAGGCTTTGCTGTATCTTTCAAGAGCTACTCTGTATGCGGAATGTGTTCCCACCTCCTTATTCCCACTTGACACAGCAACTGGTAACTTTCTGGGCACCAAAGAGCTGGCTTTTCTGTTACCAGTACCGACGACAAGAAACGGGAGAGGGCTGGATGTAGCAGTCCTAAAGGATCTCCAGCGGCTTGTCCCCCATCCCAACGCCTGGATGTGGCTGCATCCACAGGTGCTGGCGTAGCGACGATGCCTTAAGAGTGGCGGCATTAAAGCCATTTCCCAGAACCAGCCTGCACCGGTGAAGATCAGGGGAGGGGGGTAATATGGTTCTCCAAGGAAGTCGGGGCAAAGAAAGTTCCTTTCTTGTTCTAGCGAGCAGCGCGAGACGCACGGGGCGGCAAGTGGCTGTTTGTTGACTGACTCCAGTCTCCCCTGGACCAGGAGCCCCTAGAATATACCTCCTTCGATCCCCACTGACCCCTCCCAGCGCCTCCCATGGTGACTGGCTCACTAACTGGTGGTCAGTGTTTACTCAGAGCTGTTTGGCGAACGATTCAGCGGAAGAGTGGAGGGGTGGGCACCGGGTGTTCCATTTCGGGTGTGGGGGTGGGAGGTTGGGAACTGGGATCCTTATTGGCATCTGGTTGTTTAGGGAAATATTTCTCAAGAGGGGATGCGGGTGGGGGCGAAAAGGTGGGGATCCGTGTTACGGTTCCGCCCAGAAATCCGAAAGGAGCCTGGAGTCACCCAGCAAGTGGGATAATTTAAAGCGCGGCGCGGCGCGGCGGGAAGGAGAAGGACCCGGGCCCGGGGCGCGGGGAGCCCTGCGGCGGGCAGACTAAGTTCGCGGGGCTCCGGCCGGGTAGGAGGCCGCGGCGCCCCAACCTCAGGAGGGATGGAGGGGCGGGGGCAGGAAGCGGGGCTGGAGAAGCGGGGTCCGGCGCGAAAGGACCCCGGGCCGACGGCCGGGAGTCGGGCCAGGGGACCCCCTCGGCTCCAGAGCAGCACTCACCTCGCAAACTCAGCTTCGCCCAGCTCGGCGCCCGCAGCGCGATGCTCGCTCCCTCGGCCTGCTGAGCCGCCGAGCGGGCGGCCTCCGGCGCCCCTAGCAACCACGCAGCACGGCGCGAGCCACGCTCGCAGCCGCCGCCGCTGCCAGCCGCGCACTTGCGCGCGCGCCCCTAGAGGACCGGCCGAGCGCCCGGGCCCGGCTGCCAAGGGAAGGCGGGAGGCCGGCGCGCAGAATCTTGGGGGCTGAGGGGCGGGGTGGGCGGAGTCAAGCGGTCAGCGGCCTCACGCACACGCAGTCGCGTCTGTGCTGGTGGGGTGGGGGGGACCTGGCGTGCGGCATTGTGGGAAATGTAGTTCCCTGGTTAAGTCCTAGAAAAGCAAATTTTGCTACTCCAGAACTGGTCATCTTCAGTGTGACTCCACTTAACCCCTGCAGAATCGTTCTTTGGACGTACCTTAAATCGCTCCGAGGCAGTAAAAAGCCGCGGATCTTATTACAAATTTCTTTCTATTTCGTACTTTCCAGTAAAAAAAAAAAGCCTTTGTGTTTGCTCCCAGGAAACAGAGACTGCCGAATCCTCTCTATCACTTTCTAATCCAGCTTCTCCTCCCCGACCCAGCTATAGCTTGGAAACACCAGAAACTGGAAGAAGCAAACAATGGAACCAGTTTCCTGGGCGTTTAAGTGTAAACTTTAAGAAGTACCAACTGGGGGGGGAGCGGGGAGGGAGGGAGCAAAATGAGGAGCTGATGCCAGGGGCTTACATGGAGAGCAAATGTTTTGAGAATAATGAGGGTAACGAATGTACAAATGTGCTTTATACAATTGATGTATGTATGGATTGTGATAAGAGTTGTATGAGCCCCAATAAAATGATTTAAAAATTTTTTTTAAAATAAGTCTCAATTTATTCAGTATCTCATTATTTCCTCCAGACAGACAGATCTGTGCCACCTCAGTTCCAGATGTCCCCACATCTGATGGATTTAGAAGCCTAAAGAGAGTTGGGTAAAGGATCTTTTCCAAGCTGTTGGCTATAGAAATAAAGGAGGCAATCAAAGATGAAACAAACATGTAGAAAAAACGAGAATGATCAATGAGTAATTGGTTCGGACAAAAGTCATTGGTGGATGGGATGCTAAAACCACCGTTAGAGAATTGTGGAGAAATTTACACTTGGACCGGTGCCTTCCTTCACCTGTATATACGAGTCAATCTTAAATCACGAACGAGTCAATCTTAAATCACGAACGAGTCAATCTTAAATCACGAACGTGAGGCATAGATATAGTTTTCATCTCCTGATGAGATGCAATTTAAATAGTAATATTTATGAGGTACGGTGTATTTTTAAATCCAAAAAAAGTCTAATATTAATCCTATCAAGCTTTAGGTTCTAACTTCCAGTTCCCAAACTATAAAGAGGAATAATTAAATGACACCACAAGAGAGTAATTAGTCAAATCTAGAATATAGGCCAATGTACAAGATAAATGACCTCATTTCTCAACAATTTAAGGACATTAAAAAAAGAGGTTCTCTTTTAAGATATTTAAGAGATCAAATGTAATGAGTGAACCTTGTTTGGATTCTGATTCAAACAAATCACTGTAAAATAATTCCCCCCTCCCTCAGGGGAGAGCGCGAACGCAGCCCCCCACTACCACAAATTATGCAGTCGAGTTTCCCGCATTTTGGGAAATCACAGGGGTCAGCACATTCGGAGTGCCATAAATAAGCCTCGCCCTGGGAAAACCACCTTCGTGATCATAGTATCTCCCCTGCCAGGTAAGTGTGTAAAAAAAATTTTTAAGACATTTTTGAGACAGTGGAGAAATCGGAATACAGACTAGGGACTTTCAAACCATAGATGACCATTTTAAAAAAGCATTGTGAATTTTCTTAGGTATTGTAGTGGTTTGAATGATGGCCCTCCAAACAGATAGGTCCGTGTCTTAGTCTCAGGAACCTATAACTATTATCATATAGTTATATAGTTTATGGTAATGACAAATGAGATCACTAAGTTCAGAATTGTGAGAGGAGGCATTTCCCCTGGTTTATCTGGGTGGGCCTTAAATCCAATGATGAATGTCCTTAACAGAGTGACTCTTACAGAGGGAGATTTGATAGAGGAGAAGAGAGAGAGGAGGAAGAAGCAGTGGAACTACAGAGGCCAACCAAGATTTGAGTGATGAGACAGTAAGCCAAGAACACTTGGAAGACGCAAATAATGGATTTTCCTCTACGGTCTGAAGAGTATGAGCCCTGCCAACACCATGATGTCAGACTTTGTGTATTAGTCTAGGTACTTTAGAGAAACAAATCCACAGCAACTCATGTATAAGAGAGTTTTATATAAAGAAAGTGTGCATCATGAAAACATCCCAACCCAATGCTGCCCAAGCCCACAAGTCCAACATTAACCCATTAACCCAACACCAGTCCACAAAGTCCTCCAACTCA